TAGATAGATAGATAGATAGATAGATAGATAGATAGATAGATAGATAGATAGATAGATAGATAGATAGATAGATAATTAAAAAAAAAGGCATTTGCCTGTTGAAGTGACTGCACTGGATAGACTGCATGTAGAAAAGATCTGGATATCATTCTGAATCCCAAGGTACATCGGAGCCAAACGAGGGATTCAACTGCAAAATAAACATTTAACCTGTGATCCTTGACCACATCAAAAGAAGTATAGAGTTGCTTCTTGCTATTCTGCGCTGGTCAGACTTAGAACATAGAGTAAGTTCTCAGGTGGTCCTCAGTTGGAGGCTGGATGGTCAATTATGCCAGTACATTACAAGAAAGGATTGTTTTATCTAGATGATCTCAAGGTATTTTCCATCCCAATACTCTGAATGTTATTAACAAACTGCTGCATGAGTTGATTACAAGGTGAACATTCTCTGATTACTTTCAGAGGACTGAGAAACTTTGCTGATCAAGATGTTTAATCCCCACCAAGCAAAGGTGAGTGAGTTACGATTAAGAGGATAAGAGGTCATCTTGGCCACAACATCCCAAGGATCCAGACTGCATGGCTGGGACGATCAAGGGGCAAAACACACACTGAAGTCCAACACAAGGCAAATGTGATAGCAGACCTTAAACCACTGCCTAGGGCTGTCTTAACAGCATTATGGACCCTGGACAAAGCTTGATACTGGGGCCCTTATGACAACTACTTCATAGGAATAAAAATGCAGTAAAATGTAATAAATACGTTGCAGTGTTTGTATGATACAAGATGGATTGAAGAGTTAACATATTCTTTATGAGTATGGGTCCCCTATGCTCCTGGGGCCCACAGGTAAGTGCCCATCAGGCCCATGCTTTAAGACAGCCCTGCGCACTACCCACTTCTGAGTCTTGCCATCCAGGAAGGACAGTGACAAACTACAGACAGCCAGAGGAGACCCAGGAGAGCAATGAGCAGCCTGGAAGGAAAGATCCTGAGAACAGTTAGAGGCTTTGGTAGTCTGGGAGAAGCCAGAAGAGCTGTTTCTCAGCACCTGTGGAAGCCAGGTCCAGCAGGGGGCTGGACTAGAAGACCTCCAAGGTCCCTTGTAGCTCATTTATGCATTCAAGTCTTAAAGTTCCCCTCGGAACAAGAAATAATAAATAAGATACTGATGTGCACAGAGATGGACAGGCTGACTCTAGAGCTCAAAGACAAAGATGAGACAGAGTATCCCGAAAACTGGGACAAATGGTACCGATGGTTAGAAATGAGGGGAAAAGGCCCTCAAAATGAGGGGGAAAGGGACAGAAAAAGACAGGCAAGAATTGGAAAATATGGTATTAAGAATGTGTGAATTGGATGTGTATTTGTATAATTAGTAAGTATAGAAAAAAAGGATTAATGGACAGGTAATCTGACTGACTACACATACCTATTTAATGGACATAAAATGTAATTGTTACTGATAGAATTTTTTTATTTGTTGTTGTCTTACATACCATTGTAAGCATACATTCACATAATTATTATTCTTTACATTTGTCATTCTTATGCATTTGTTACTCCATTTAATAGGTTAAATACAGATTGGGTTGCTTTCTTTACCATCCCTTCCACTTGTTGTAGCACCACCTTATTTTCCCTTTCTTTCCTCCCTCCTCTATTTTCTTTCTTTCCCTTTCTTCTTCCCTTACCGCCCTGTAATTGTTTAAGATCTAATCGCTATATGGAAACATTTATACCAGAAATGTCACATTATGTCCAATGTTTTTAATGTTTATCTAATAAAAAAACTTTTTATAAAAAAAGAAGTCTTAAAGTTGCCAAGTTTAGAAGCCTGGGACAGAGTTGCCACAGCAAGTGGTAGGCCTAATTTCGCAATAGGGGGATTCAACAGAGGATGGATGGCCATTCAGTGCACCGAAAAAGGTAGCGAGAGAGTTGGAGAGTGACTGTCAACTTTGGCCACATGAAGATGGTGAACTTCAACTCCCAGAATTCCTCATCCAGCAGGCAGGGAATGGAACCCCGCCCACCTCCGAGAAACCCTGGTCCAGACGATCTGCGAGGCCCCGCCCAGTCACGGCCGAAAGCCAATCGCGCGCTTACCTTGTGCCGCCTCGCCAGAGGGCACTCTTCTGCGGGGAAGAAAGGCGGTAGAGTTACGAACAGTGCAGAGGAGGCCACCTGTCGCCCTGTCAGTTGGCCATGAGCTCCTGGTGAAAAAGACGTAAAAGTGGGTCGCGTTAAACCGGGCCGGCAGCGTCGAGGAATGATGGCTGGGTTCTCACGAGGTGCTGAACCTGAAGTCAGAAAAGCGTCCTGCTATGGCTCCATTGGAGGGTTGCCTCACACCGTCCCTCGACCGGTTCTCCACCCAGCGCTGAAGCGCCCTGGAGTCAATCCTAACGTGCTCCAAACTCGCCCTTCCAAGGGAGCTTCCAGAAGGCCGCTGGTTGAAAGGGGGGAGCAGGCAGGCCTCGGAAAAAAATCAAAATAATTGTGGAAAGAAACCCGGAAGTCGATGAGACGAAATTGGGAGTCTATGTCCTAAAAACGGCCGCCGCGGCTCGAGTTTGACACGGAAAGGGGCTCCGTGCGCATGCGTAGAGGAGGGACGCCGTAACCCGAGTTTGATGCTGGCTCCTGGCCAAACACGGCTAGCGCATGCGCGGGGCTGCTACCGGAGCGCTGCAGGTGAGCTGACCTGCAGAGGGATACGGAAGGGGGGGGGGTGTCCTCCTGCTGCTCTCTGTCCACAACGTCCCTGCCAGGTGGGCCGCCTGCAGGAGCCCGGCCGAGTGGTGGTGGTGAAGTCTCCCCTAACCAGCGCCCACCGCCCCTCCCCTCCTCCCCCCCCTCCCCGCAGGGCCGCCGGCATGAACCCCGCGCAGGGCACGGTGGGCAGCGACCCGGTCATCCTGGCCACGGCCGGCTACGACCACACGGTGCGCTTCTGGCAGGCGCACAGCGGCATCTGCACGCGCACCGTCCAGCACCAGGACTCCGTATCCTTTGGGGCGCCTCTGGGGGGTCGAGGGTCGGGGTGGGAGTCTCGGCCGGGTCCCCGCCGGCTTCCTTAACGCCGCCCGCAGCAGGTCAACGCCCTGGAGATCACGCCGGACCGCACCATGGTGGCCGCGGCAGGTAAGGGAGGAAAAGGGGGCTGGGAGCCCTGGAGAGATGCTCAGGGCTTGGCTGGCTTTTCTGGGGAGCTTCCTCAGGCTTTGCGACCAGTGGGCCGGGGGCAATAGTTGAGGGTGAGTGGCTTGGGCGCAGGGTGCATAAAAATCGATGCTTTTAAAATATTTAATTTTGCACATAATTTCAGTAGCGAGAATAGTGCTGGCACAATGTTGGAAAAGGGATGCCATGCAAGACTGACTGTTGGATAACTCAAAAGATTCTTTTTTTT